GTGAGCCACAATGCCAATAAACGACGTCATCAGCGAAGCTGAGACGTCTTATCTGCTGTCCATTTATCTTTATTCCTTCTCTCTGGTCTGACCGCATGAACACCGTTCTTAGACAGGCCGTGGTAATAAATTGCCTGCTTGTTTCACTTTCTTCTTTACAGGAATCTGCAGGAGTGTCGATTAGTATTATGTCCGTCGTGTAAGCCTTGATGGGTTTTGCCAACAATTTAGTAATTATTCCTTAATGGCAATAAGGTCCTCAGGTCATGTACATTTATTTGGTTGAAAATTAATTTTTAGATTTACGTTCACTCCTTGTGCTGATTTTTAGCCAGCTATCAAGTGGATCAGGGTTAACTGTAGCTGTAAATCGCTCGCGTCAGACAACATAACCGCATGTCTCGTAGCATTGGTTTCACCCCTTCCCAAAGCACCATTTTGTCCTTAATACTGGCAGATCATCGACTTACTACTGACTTTTCGCCTTGTTGCATCGAAGCACGGTAGGGGTGAATACCTTGCTCAAGAGAATTAGTTGTTAATAAGCGAAAACTCAAGGTGCGCGTTGCATTTGAACCAACCACTCTAATGCACAACGCAGCTTACTAACCAACTGAGCTACTGCCCCCTCTCTCCTTCTCTAATGCACTTCTTTTCATTCTACAGATTGTTGCACTTATGCAGACAATTTTAACTTTTATGAAAGAATAATCTGCCGCTAAAAATTATTGTGAGGGTACTTTATTGCACAATTTTTATGTCACTTCTTCTGAAGGCTTCTTGATTGCTCACCTTCAACCACCTGAATCGCTTGGGAAAAGCATATTTACAGTTCGTTTGCACAAGTGAAAAATGGTGAAATTGATTTTATTCTATTCCTAATGCATAATGTACTGAAATGGAACGATCTTTTGTTTAGAATTTTCAGTGCGTTACCAGCTCATTCACTTGCCAACGCAGTTGAAACTTACTGGAACGTTTCTTCTTCGCGACGATTAGGCGTAGCACTGCCTGCTGAAGCTGTAATAAATTAACCGTGGCAAAAGTTTCTGGAGTCAAACTGAAACTACTGCAAGAGGAAGTTCCTCAAACTTCCGCATGCAACGCTTCAAATTATTTATAACTCGTTGCTTGAGATACTGAGCGACCATTCTTTCCCCGATTCGTCACAGAATTCACATTTCACAAGTTAGTGTAAAACTCATTCTTTCATTAATGAACTCCATCATTTTCACACTCTTATGCTATCCTTGCTCTGAAGCAGAGCTCAATTATCTTCATCCCTCAAATATCTTTAAAATCAGATTTTCATTTTAGTAATATTCAATCTTGATGAAGAGGGCGTTTGTCGTTCGTTCGAAAGCCGCCATTAGACGTATTCCAACTTAAACTCTTTTGATATCGGATTGAAGCGATGTAGTGACACCGTTCCTTTGTTTTTATTCGCTGAGGGGACCATGTGAGCAGGCTACAGATCCATTACATTGTAGCACTTCCAGTGCATTAGTACAAAAGCCGCATCACTGTGCACGGACGAACAAAGGCCTATTCGGTTACCTATTGATGTCTGAATGCTCGTGGCTTATTTATGCATAAAAATGAACCCGATCTTGTGGGTTTTCTAGCATGCGGCTAGTTATTGATACCGCCACTATGAGAAATGGCATTATCCATTGCAAATTGTTAACTATGAATTATTTATGCCGATAACCTTTTAATCTTTAATTTTAAACTTTCACTGTAACTCTGTTTCGACCTGCCGTGTTAACGATAAGCTCTCTGCAGTTTCCTCGCAACAAACGGACCGTCAGTTCGCAAGTGTAATCTTCACTGGTGTGAATATTGGATCATCACTTAACGTACAACGTGCGAATTGACAAGAATGCATGTCATATTCCGTCACAAAGTCCACAACATATCGGCTGAAGTTTCTCAACGTTCAGTAGCGACATGGGCAATTGTTGTGTCCGTTTTCTGTGTTATTGCCATCGCCATCAGCTTAGCACTGGTAAGCATTGCCGTGAATGCTGTGTATCGTCTGTTCTTAGGCTACACTGTTCCCAATAACAGGCTAGCATACTCGTTTCTAGTGCTTGCGAATGCAAAGGAGGGTGAAGAGATCTCGACGCCATAAGCAAAGAGCATCTAAAGGAGCGAAAAGTCGTTCACGATTCGAGACGGAAATACCCAGCTCGGAAAGCTTCAAGACTAGCACCGAGGTAGAAGGAACGTTCAAGACGTCGCGTACGAGTACCTCCTCGTCGTCAGAAGGTACTCTCGACGAAACGCAAATCCGGCCGCCAACGTCACGCCCAAAGAAATCGCCGCAACGGAAATCTAGAGCCAAAAGGTCCACGGCAGCATGGCATGGCCCTCCCCCTGTGCTTCCGCAGTTTACACCTCCTCAGCGTCAGTTTCCGCCTCAGGTACCGTATCCGTCCAGGCCGCGTGCCCCCACTCCAAAAGCAAAAGAACCTCCACCATACCGGGAATCCACCTACGACCCGTTTAAGCCTCCTCCTCGTTCCTGGCCTGGAACATCCGGTCCTCAAGGCGGAATATCTCCATGGTTTCCTCCACGAATACCCCCTTACGATCCGTTTAGGCCTCGCTCTCATTCCCTGCCTGCAGCACCCCAACCACTCCCAGAAGAAGACGATAGGACGATAATTCCGGGGGGAACAGCAACGTTTTTCCGCAAGGTGCCGCTGCGTGCGGGTGCCCCTCTGAAGATGCATTATACAGAGCGTGACGATCCAACGATTGTCCACGGCGAAACAACGAAGTTTTTCAAAGGTGAAATAAACTAACAGAATGCGATATCTATTATTATTATGGTGTTATCTATTAGCTTCTACGTTAATTGTCATGAAATTAGTTAACCTTGATGCGCAGTAGTAATTATGAGTCATTTATCATTCTCATGTTCATGGTATTGTCCCGTTTTAAAATTTAAATTAAAATAGATGAATAAATTGAACTCGTATTAAAACGTGAATTGTTCTTCTTATCATATCATGATATAGTAACATTTAGGTTTAGCGAAAGGAAGGTTGCTGCTGACTAGTACTACTGAAAATAGGCAGTAGCCATAGCAATAACATATCTCCATTTTTATCAAAGGTTTCCGGAGCCCCTGGTGCAAGGCAGGACGTTTTGTAATATTTCAGCACCTGAGAGCATTTATACAAAACTGCGTAATTCGTTAAAAATCACGAAAACTTTTCAAACCATCGCTTGAAATACGTCTACTAATAGAGGAACAGGGTATCGTTAGCAGTCAAAGCAAGTTAAACTGCGCTAATGCAATCCTTTTCATCCTTTGCATCGAAAATGACGCTGGCTGCTGCGGAGGATGATCGTATATGTGGCATTATAAGTGGATGACTCGCAACAATTGTTCATCGATTGCACTCGTCTGCTAGCACGCCCGCATATTGTTGTGCAGAATTCAGTCGTGGGCTTTCTCCAGGTTCACGAAACACGTAAACCGGATGAGCGAACTGACACAAATTCTCAGCGATGCGGTCAGAAGTGCTGAGCTGAAGCCATACTGCTTTCTTCTGTTTTATAATCATTTATTCAGCGGCACATTCTTTCTAATACTTTTGCGTAGACGTTTCCCGGGAGGTTAAATAATGTAATGCCCTGATAATTGGAGCACTGCCTGTGGTCCCTCTTCTTGAACACGAGTACTATAATAGCCGTTCTCGAGTCCACTGGAGCCGTTGCAGTTTCACAAACACGAGTTAGCCACATCATGTCTTGTTCGCCAATGCTTTAAGCATTTCGAGGCGGATTTCATCGATTCCGGTAACCTTAGCACGTTTCAACCTTCAGAGTATTTTTTCCTTTGTCGAAGTATGCTCTAATTCTTGGTAAGAGGGCGTTTAGACTTTCGTCCATGACTCTTAGACTGTTTTTCTTTCTATCTCGGCGGCGACTGATGGGTTTTCAGAATACGTCGTTTAACGCTTCAGAATACGTCGCACATATGTATAATAATTATGGATTATGCATGACTATTAAACATGCACCTGTTTATTCTCCATTCCGTTTCCTCGAATTCACATGTCACAACTGCACTGTTACTTCGCTTCTGTGAGTGTTTCTAGTTGTTTTCTTTAGGGTAAAGCGATTCATTTACAAATTTTCGTTGCTGTTTACAACGGGTTGCTGCATTTACCACAGTAAAGAAGTTTTCCATCCAAGCTAGCCAAGTACTCTAAACTGACGCAGTCGTGCTGCTTAAATGTCTCCTCTCTTTCAAGTTTCATGAAGTTCGGCGGTACGAATATGCTCAATAAATCGGCAGTTATAATATGGATATGTTATTCCCACACCTGCTATTAAACACAAATGCATGTTAAGTATTATCATTCAGATGTACGTCATTCTATTAGCATGCATTTACTCAACAGGTTAGCACGACGATACCTCGATATGATTTCGAATTGCAAGTCTGTATTGTAAATGATGCAATATAGTAAGAGCATTAACTTATTGATTTATCTCCCGAATCCCTCATGTGATCGCCATTACTTACTTAACCTATGTTTCACTTAAGACACTGTACTGACCATCATTCTCCCTTCCTTTAATGTCACAAGTGTGAACGTTCTTGGGTAAATTATTACAATACACACGGAGATAAAAACAATAGGCATGCAAAATAATTGCATTAATATATCACGAATATGGTTGTCCATATCGTCATTCAACAGTTTGTGAGAACCATGTATTGCGCGCTAAAGTGTGTTCGATAATCCATGGCAACATACAGTAAGGAAAAGTGTTTTACGTACGAACACTACTTTCGAAGCATGTAGCTGCAATATGCATCGCTTTCCAGGTGGCGTGAAGTGACAGTGCCTAAGAGGTCGGCTTCCAACTCGAACCTCCAGGAGTGCGAGTTCGACTCCCGCGGAGACACTTCCGTTTTACTACGAGTTCCAATGAACAGTGAATTTGCTATACGTTTCTTTACACCGGTTACTCGGTCGATATGATGTCGGATTCAGAGCCGTAAGTTCTTGGGTTCGAGCCCCGATCAGGGTCACTGGCCTGTCTTCCTTCCAAGGTTACTAAATGAGTACCACTGGGATACACGGGTGAAAGAAAATATGAGAATACAGACTACGCTTGCCACATAATTGCTGTTGATCCGCCTTTAGAAATGGTTCATGGCTGATGACATGGAAATGACGACCAAGGCTAACTGTCATTAAGTTGATGAAGGCAAGATTGCTAGAATTTGCCCCATCATGTAGCATAATGAAGACCAAGAAACTTTTCCTAATTTCCTAACATCGTTTGATCACCTTGATTACGTGGTAGCTGCCAACGGCCAGAACACAGTACGGTACATTGTATGCAACTTCTACAATAATGGCACAGGCCAGCAATTAACTCTGTCCTTCACATAGAAACGATGGGGTAAAGAAAGGGTAGCAAACAGGAAACTTCTTTATGTTCGGACGACAAGTCTCTCTGAGAAAAATCTAATCTGAGTGAAACCTGAACAAGTGCTTGTCGAGCCACCGTCGCCACTGACATTCCTTAATAGTACATGGCAAAATATTTTCATCTTGAGCAGTTTATGTCTTTGTACATGTGCATTTACATATAAATTATGTGTAAATTATGCCCCCGATGTGGACGATGCTACTGAGTGTGTAGCGAAACACGTTGGTATTAAATGTATTAAAATCTGTGGTTTGATGCCCTCACGATGAATCTGTAGAGTATCTGTAAATAATTGAAAGATTTTGTCGCCTCGGCATTTAGTTTATGCTTACATTTTGAGCTACTCTTCGTTGCGAGTACACGCAGTACGCTGCGAGTACTCGAACAAGGTTGATGCTTGCTTCGTACAGCAGAAAAAGGGTTGCAACAGAGAGCTGTAGTTCCAACAATGGAGACGATTGCAGGAATCTGGCATGAATTACAAGCTACTTGTTGCCATCAAACCGTTATATATGATTGCTCCATTGCTCCATGATCTGTTTCCGAATTAACGAAGGAAATCATTACGTTTTAAAGTGTCGGCTAGTCTCCGCCAGGGTTGGATGTGTTATCTTCTTCTGTTCATAATCATATGAATTGGAAAAGCATACGCGACCCAGACATTAAGAACATCACAGTTAGGGGTCCGACGACTTAGTCATCCGTTGGTTTTGGATGATATTCGTTTCATTGAATGATTACCCCCCCCCCATTTTGCGCTTCCTGGTTACGCTAATAAGTTTGTGTTGAATGGCCCATCTGCTATACTCCAGCTAATAAGGTTATGCTGATAACGCTCGAGTAGGCTAGGGTAAAACCTCAGCCGAAACTCTTCTACTCCCGAGGAAAACCGTTCAGCGTGCTGTGCAGGCATAAGAACAGAACGCAACTAGAGCAAGTGGAAAAATGTGAGTAAATCGAGGCAGTATTCAAGATCGTTTGAATTAGCATCGATCTCTGGAGATACAAAAAGATGTGGGCACTAGTACGAAGACGTCTTTTTATGCACTTGTACTAGACTGTGGCTGTGAGTGCTGAATGGTAAACAAAAGTGTACGATCTCAGACACACGCCAC